CCTCTAGCCAGGGTCAACCCACCACAGCAGTAAAGAAGGTTAGTGGCATCCTGGGCTGTAGGTCATGGGAGGTGATTATTCCCCTTTGCTCTGCAGTTGCGCATCCATTCTGGGCCACCAAGTACAGGGAAGAAGTTGAAAAACATGACTGAGTTCAGCAGAGGGCCACTGAGAGGCTGTGGAGCTGGGGCTGGTTCAGCCAGGAGAAGGGGTGAGTTTGGGGACACCCGACAGCATCCCTGACACTGATGGGAGGGACAGAGGAGATGCAACCAGGCTCTACAGAGGGATGCGTGGTGGAAGGGTGAGAGGCAGCTGCACAGGCTGAAATATGAGAGGCCCAGGCTGGAACCCAGAGGACAGGCCATCAGTGGGGTGGGGGCCAAGGGAGGCTGGAGCGTCTCCATCCTTGGGGGTTTCATGGCCTAACTGGATGAAGCCCTGAGCAGCCCAGTCTGAGCTCAGAACTGCCTCTGCCCTGGACAGAGGCTGGGGCTGGAGACCTCCCAGGTCCCCACCAGTCTGAACAGGATCCTGTGACCCTGTGAAGGGAGAAAGGAAAAGTAATTTTTAATTTTTTTTTGCTACATGCACTGAATAGCGTTAGTCACCTGGGTGCTCTGTCAGCTGATCAGTACATATCTATTTAATAGCACAGAAAAAGTACTGAGTGTTTGTATTCATTTTGTGACTGATTTTACATCATCTGTAGCAGCAATATTCCAAGTTAAATTTCACTGGACTGGAGCAATTACTTGCAAAGGGCTATTTTGCTCCAAGCTGCTAATGGTGTAGTCAGTGATGTGTATATTCACTTTCTTCAAAGAGTTTCTGAGATGGCCTCAGGGACCTAAATCAGCACTCTTCTGCAAGAAGTTTCTCAACCCCAACCAGTTAGCCACTCACTGGTGGAAACAAGACTGTGAGGCTTTAGAAAGCACCACCACTCTCTTGAACCCAGGTATGGCCTCCTGAAATTACACACAAGGTAAGTGCTTGCTCTTCCTCACCTTGATAGTACCCAATTGCATCCAAAAGGTTTTCATCCATGGTTGCTCAGCCTGCATCTCACAGAGAAGGTCACATAAATCTGAAAAATGCCCTGAGCTCAGAACTTCCAGTCAACTACGGGCAAAGTAGCAGCAAAGAAAAGCACTGACAGAAAGCTATCCAATCTTTTTCTTTGGAAAAACAAGGTGCAGGAGCACAGGTACCACTGCATTTGTGGCATCCTCTTGGCATGGCTGCTACAGGATTGAGACTACCACTTCTTCTGTACTTTATATTGTTCAGAGAAGGAGCAGAGGGAGATGGGTCTGACACTAGGGACCAGTTTCACTTAGAAATTACTTGAGGAGAAACTTACTTTAATAAACGAGGCTTTCAGGATGACAGCATATTAACGGTGTCTGTGCAAGGCAGTCTACAGGACAACATGTTGCTGCCTGGAGGTGCCTGCAGCTGAGGTGGCAGCAATTTGAGGAATAGCTTATTTTCAACAAGCTCCAGATCAGGCCTATAGTGGAACTGTTCAGCCCTGGAACCCAGATAATACCTACTTCAAAGTAAATCCCCAAACCATGGAGAGATGAGGATCCTCAGCACCAACTGAAAGCGGTATAATCGTATTCACTCTTCCTGTACTGTGCTACTGTGAGGTTAAAGTAGATTTAGCACTGAAATACTTGAGAGTTTCCACTGAAATTCCCATATAACTCAAAATGAAAGCATTTCCTAAATCAGATGTCAAGATACTTACGTTTCTTCTTCTCTGTTGGGTAACAGAGCACTGGAACAGGATTCCCAGAGGTTGTGGAGACATTCAAACCCCACTTGGATGTGTTCCTGTGTGATCTACTCTGGGTGATCCTGCTCTAGCAGGGGAGTTGGAGTAGATGATCTTCAAAGGTCCCTTCCAACTCCTGCCATTCTATGATTCTGTCTGCTGTAGGAAAGCTCAGCTGCCAGGAAAAAATAAATATCCATTAAGGGAAATAAACAAATGCAAAAAAATCCCAGGATCTTGTCCTAGAAAGATGGAATCACACTGTCAGCAGCATAAAAACAACTGCTATTCTTTTTAAAAGATCACGAACGTTATTTTCAGTTAGACTAGAAGCATTCATTTCACACCTATCATCAAGATTCATCAGTCTAGGCTTGCCATATTTTGCTGCCTATCACAAAAGGCCTCGGTTGCTCTGGAGTTTCTCCTAAGTACTCTTCCTCTTCCATCCTCTTCTTCTTCTGAAATGTTATCTTTAAAAAGGTAACAACTGTGGAATCCATATGTCAATTCTAGTTAGTTTACACTGAAGGGGTTAGCAGCACCACCTCAGAGAAATAAGATTTTGTAAAAAACCTGAGGTCAGAAACAGGATGTTGTTTTTCACCTTCTCATTCATCTAATTCCTCAATAGCAACACTGTGTATTTACATACCAGATGGCATCACAGATCCATGACAAAGTTGTTCTTTTTTTCCCCTTCCTTATTATACTATTAACAAGAGATTGATTCAGAACACAAAATATTCAATCAGTTGACATTTTGCCCCCCATACTGCTTGAAGGAAAGAAGGGGTAGAGACTGGTTTTGGTATCACATGGATTTTCTCTATGTCTCAGTTTTTATTCTGACAAGAACAAACAGTACCCTTCATCTATCATCCCCTCCCAGAAGTGAAGCTTTTCTTCAGGAAAACACATGATTTAATAATAAGTCCGATGACATTTTCAGAGTACAGCACAAGGCCTGGCATGTTGCCTCAGAACTTGATAGACTATGATAGTGTACACTTACTGTTTTATACACATGGGTATCTACAGAAACTTTCCCTGTATCTCTTTCACCTTCAAAACTCCCATTGAGTTAATCTGCGATAATATAAGAGAAACCTTGAACCATCTGGCCAAATGAGCAAGTTTATGCTCCTCACTAATGTTTGTTCTTCTTCCCCCGTTTATTTTTCCCCCTGCAAAAAATGTGTTGTTTCAAACTTAAAGTTTTTCTAGGGGTCTAGAAAACACAAATAGATCCTCCTGGTGTTAATCACAGAATGGCTGAGGTTGGCGGGGACCTCTGCAGGTCATCTGGTCTAACTCCCTGCTCCAGCAGGGCCACCTATTGCCAGCTGCCCACGACCAGTGTCCAGACAGCCTGTGAATATCTCCAAGGATGGAGACTCCACAAGCGCTGTGGACAGCCTGTGCCAGGGCTCAGTCACCATCACAGTAAAGAAGTGTTTCCAGATGTTCAGCTGGAGCCTCCTGTGTTTCAGTCTGTGCCCACTGCTTCTGGTCCTGTGACTGGGCACCACCATGGAAAAATATCCAAAGAAAGATCAGATTCTTACCATAGTTAGGCAAAACATACAAGCAGAAAAATGGTTTGGCTCTTTCTAGCCCCGCACAAGTTAAGAATATTGATATTAACTTTTCATCTGATTTCCTAAGGAAACAGATGTTGATCTGTCCTTTCCTATTCACTTTTGAGTCTGTCAGTCATTTTCAATAATAATTAGAGCCAGGTTCACAGCTTCAAAGATAAACAAAAATGTCAAAGTTTTAAATTTGAGTCCTTCAAACTTGAAAAAAAATAATTGGCTGGATAGAGAGGCCCAAATCAAATGGGAGAAATGGCAAACAGAACATGGTTCTTACATTTCTCCTTTTTTTTTTTCTCTTTTCTCACAGTAACTAGCACTGCTGGCCCATCACAGTACCCAGACATCCGAATTAATCACAGAGTGCCATTTCTTGCCTGGCGTTGTAAATGGAATTGCTGCTGTGTGAGCACAGGCAGTTCACACAAATCCATAGGAAACCAGGCTTTGCTAGTTCTGCAGTCCACGGGACAGACTCTCTTTTTGTTGCAGCATTTGCTTACCAGTACACAACTAAAGCGTACTTGCTCTAATCTAAGACACCTCAATCATGGAATAACAGTATCAATCTATGAGTTTTACTCCAACCATGCTAGTTTCCACAGTGTTACAGAAAGTGTGCATAAACAAAGCTAAACACATGCAAAAACTCTGTTTACACCAGCCCTCTGTCATAAAATAATTGACCCTAAATCAGAACATGTTTGAATTTAGAGTAGTCTTGCGCATTCTAGGAGCTTGTACTGATGAGACACATAAAATGGCATTGAGCCATTTCTCAGAAAGTATGTAATAAGTAAAGAAATAACATATTTTTGAGCTGCTTATTAGGAGGGAGGGATGCAGACTGTAAGAAGAGAATGAAAAGTTGACTCCTTGCCTCTTTCATGCTAATTAATGCATTCAGAAGCTGTACTGAAAGGAATTTAAACTCGTGATAGTCATAAGAGAACAGATCAAAGAAGAAAAAAACAGACCAAGTCAAGGAAAAGAAAGCTGTACATGCCTTTCAGTTAACAGAGAGAATACAGGTCTGAAGGAGGTAAGATTTGTATTTTTTTTATTCTACCTAAAATTTTCTGTGTTGCTTCAAAATTATAATTCAGAAAAGGCTTGACTGTCTCTAAGCAAACTGAAAATGTTCTGTTTTGTTGGTGAGAATTCTCTTCAGTAAGGTCATTGGGTTTTACATTTTAACTGTGAAAGGTAGGCAGATTAGCTGGATACTTATCAAGTAGGATCTGTTGCTGTGCAGTTTAAATGACAGAAACATGATTTCTTCTTCACTATATTCAATCAATTAGATTTTTAACTGTTCAGACTGATTTTAGCTGGATATTAATTCCCTTAAGACTGGAAATTAAGACTGTAATATAAATTCCCTGTACATCTAAGTACAGATTTTCAGAAGACATAAATTAGTATAACCATCTGCAAATACAAAGGTCTCTGACAGTTTATGCTGACTGAAAACCTGGCCATTGAGCATTTACAGGGAATAACAGAAATAAAGAAATAACTACTTGTAAATACAGTGTTAGTTTTTCTTCTTCTGAATAGTCTTGTCCAGGTAGTTTGCCTTTCTTTCTATATTCGTGAGAGGTTTTACTTCAAAAGTCTGCCATCACTTAGTACTGAAAGAGACCATGTCAAATTCTTCTCTGTCACACTCAGGTGCAAATACCTCGATGTCAGTGGAGCTTATCAAGTGTAAGCTATAGTTACAGTTCTGAGTTTTGGCTTAAATTGGGACAGTTGCATATGTATATGGATCTACTGGATTCTGAAGATAAGAGATCATCCTGCCTCCCTAAAATGCTCCCATTAAAACAAAAAAGCTGATAATACGCTTTAAGGATAACAAATTATTTATTGCACTGAGGCACTGTATTTCTGTCCTGTAGGTTTGAGCAGGACCAAGCTCACAAAATGCCCAGAAGAAACCATCCAGATGGCAACTTTTTCAGAGCAAAAGGATACAGCTATGTTGCAGCAGAAGAGTAAGCATAAAGCAAAATCTATGTTAGCATGTTAGATGCTGAAAAAAATTTCCGTTGAAAGAAATGTACAAAATAGTATCAGAAAAAGTCACTGTTGTGTATAGGTGGAGTGCATTTTAGCTACCCTGTAGTTGTCTCTAATATTTGTCATTGCAGAATCATAAAGAAACCTCAATGGTTAAGAAAAAACAGAATTGCAGAATTCAATAATCTAGAGTTTGATCATATGATCATAAGTCATTAACCTTTATAACAAAAATACCAGCTTTACTGAGGCTTATTTATAATTTTATTTTGAGGCTGTTGCAAGGTGATCTTGCACTAAGTTTTATCTTCAGATACACACACACCTCTCTTCAGAACCTCAAAGGGTAATATTCTTACCCTAAAGAATAACAGAAGTGAAAACCCCAGAGAAATGGTAAAAAATCCCCAAAACATCAAAAAGCAGATGGAGACATCAATGCCATACAAACGTGACTCTCAGTAAATTGTTTTGGGACGAGACTCCACTTGAGCAGAACTAATTCAAGCTAATACTTTGTTAGTTTTCACTTGCAATAAAATATGTTGGGCCTTGGATTACTAGAGACACTATCCCACTGGTGATGTGTTGCTACTTTAGACAAATATTTCCAATGTGCTTGGGATATCTGTATGTGGAATGTCCTTCTGGTGCTGGTTTACTTGCCCCAAACCTGGTGACTGGGCCCCATGTTCAATCGTGGGCAGAGATTAAAAAAAGGGGAAGGCTCTCTCATAGTCCTTCCAAAGCAGTTCAGTTATCCAAAAGAGAAAGCTGAAGAGTCACATAACAGCACTTGAAACTAAGCACTCTCACTTCTAACTGCCATGAATTCCAGTGACAGCAGTGGTAAGCAGTTTTTCTAGATATGCAAGGGAAAAGTCACTCCTTCTAATACCAGAAGGAGCATTCAAGATACAAACATAGATTCCTAATAGCACAGCTGCAGCTTCAACTGGAACGGCAAGCGATTGCACACATACTTTTCATACTAGCCTCTGAATAGGTAGGAAAAGAGTCAGATGGCAAAAACGCAGTTAAAATCACCAAAATGTAGAAAAGTTGCTTGGAGAAGCAGGCTCTCCAAAGTTTTAACAGTGCTAGGGACAGCAACAAAACCCTGGAGCCATCTCGTAACTTTGAAGATAGCTGCAACAGGGCTGCACCAGAAAGGAAGTGAATGCTGTCAGCTGTAATTCTTAGGGTAAACAGGTCTCCAGCCAACACAAAGTCTTGATGGGGCAGGAGCAACTTGCAAGATTCAGGTACTTGGAAAAAGCAAATCCCTCTGGCTCCAAGGGACTTCATGCTTCAAACAGCACACAGGCAGTTCAGACAGAAAGACAGACTGTTCTGCCACATGAATCTGCTGCACCTTCTTTCAGGCTTCTTAGGTCCCAAGGAAACACTCCTTCATCAGACTTGGAGTCAGTGAAAAGGATAGCAAACAGATATAAAAGGTCTACTATAAGTCACATACCTCACTCCTCCATCCAATGGAAAAGCCTGGTGGTAATTACTGCAGGGCAACTAGCTATAAAATACATAAAAAGTATGTTAGAATGGGTTTAACCTGACTTGTGGTAATTTTTTTCCTGTCCTCTTCCCTTTAAGTGTTTTGCAGACTCTTCTGCTCCTGAACAGGCAAAGACCGACAACAAAAAAATGGGGAGTGAACACTGTATGTTTTAACAGGGAGGCTATTTAGCACAGGAGGACGGGTTTTTGTGACTAGGAAACTTGCAATTACTTTTTCAACTTGCTTTCTGACAGACAGTGGAACTCTGCTACTTCTGGCTAAGTCTCCAGTAAGCAGTGGGAAGGATGTCTTACAGCATAGTTTGCAAAGCTTAAGTTCCCTAAAATGACCCTGTGATACCCCAGTACTGTGCCTAGTATGACACAGAACAAGAAATAAAGAATTATAGAGCTCTCTATGAATAATTCAAAGTTTCTTAGGTTTTAAGGTCATGTAGTGTTTTATGGATCCAAAAAAGCCTTCTGCCACCAGCAGTTGTTGCAATATGATGCAATTAAGATACATTCCTCAATACTGGCTGCCTAGAGAAATTTAACAAATAAACAGGAGCTTTATTCCTGCATGTGTGGTATTTAATTTATTTCACATTCTCTTCCAATATCGCAATGCTATTTGCTGGACTTACAGGCAGGGGTTTTTTTAGAAGCAGCAGTCACTGGTAGATAATTATTTTCAAAGCAATATATTCCTCATTTTTAAACGCTTAAGAATTTGGCAGAGAATTTAGCTTACTGTTTAATCTACAGAGACTTGGCTGAAGTTATTGATAGTTTGTCTGTTTTTTAAAGCAAATTCTGCTCCATGCATTCCTCTGATAAAAAGGATACTGATAGAAACTTTTGCTCTAATCATTCTTGCTCCCAGAAGAATGCATCTAGGTCTAGTGTTAATTATTTTGCTTTGCTTTCCCAACAGAGCTCTGGGTATTGGACTCTTCCTTCTGGTGCTGGCAATTTTACTTATCTTTGGCTGCTGGTATTACAAAAGACGTAATGGCTACAAAAGTCTGCGGGTAAGCATGGCAGGTCACTTTATAGCATGCTATTATTTTGACAACATACTGTAAGTATCTGCATTAGATTAAGGCAGAGAACACTGAATGTGTAATAGGACATAATTATCTCCAGTAATATACACACTGACATACACACAAAATATGAAACACCTTGCCCTGAAGAACTTGCAAGCCAGGCAAAGGGGTAAGAGGAAGCAAAAGCGTAGGGAGATGAAGCCAGTTGCCCAACTCTGCACAAAACATCAGTGGAAAAACAGATCTCTAGCAAGCATTATATTTAATATTTACACAAAACCAATGTAGGTTTGGTGTATTTTCATTTAAATAAAAATAACATACTCTCTAGCCCTAAATAGGGACACACATTATTAATCTATGAAGCAGAGAAGAAAAATACTTGTTACAAATAATTAAGTAAATATTGTGTTCATGTATGAGTAATGCATGATTTGTTTGTATAAAAGTTGACTTGCAGTTCTAAGATTTACAAAAAAGTAGGGCAGGTTTGAGGTTTGCTTTCTAAACATTACCTCTAAAAAATTCTTTATGTCTTCTTAAAAATATTTTAAAAAAAGTGCAACCCTTCTTATAGCATCTGTTGTTAGAAGTCTCAAAGCTTTACCTTTGAAGTTCTGCTATCTTTCCTATGAAAGGGAGGTCAGTTTTAATCCTTTAAAGTGAAAGCTTTACCTAATTACATGTTTTACAGTAAATATCTTTTAGTTATCTCAATATTTTGAAAAAGATGTGACCATTTGGAATTTAAAAATATACCCCTCATCTAAGTCAGCAAATCAATTTCCTTGCTGTTTCTGGTAACTTTGTCCTGTTACCTTTCCAGTGGTCTATCCAATACATATATCAACTAGTAGAATACATAAACCCTGAACTTTCATACTGAAATGTTGCAAAATGAAGGTAATAGTAAAAAAAAACTTCAAAAAACAAAGTAGGATTCTTTCATGCCTGCTTCGTCCATCATGGCAAAAAGCACAATCTCTTTTAATTCCTTCTCATTGCTGATTGCTTGCTGCTTACTGGTTTGGAAAATCAAATTTTTGTTAGGCTTTTTGGCTAGGGGAAAATTGGTACAGAATTTACACGAAAGAAAAGGTGGAAAAATTGAAAAGAAAAAGGCCACAGATTAAAGAAAGAAATGGGTGGGATAGAAAGGAGATGACATTCAGGGACACAAGAAGGTATTAATTCCTGCAGCAGACCTGGACCTAAAAAATGTGACCCTAATTTTTCTGGCAATGTAATTGGATAATACAGGACAGAAAGTATGTCTCAGCACAGAGAGCAAAAACTGCTAGGTGGATTACCTGTCTTATTTGCTGTCACTGTGTCTGGCCCTAATCCCAGATTCTAATACACACTGTAAATGTGCTGTCAAATGTTAAATGACACATGATTTGCTCTAACTTCATATTCCCTTCTTCCTTTCACCTTTCTCATATTTCTCTATGTTCTGTCACAGAGCAAAAGCTCTAGTGTGGGCACAATACGAACCATGGTAGGTGAGGGAACAACACTGGACTGCAAAATGGCGCTGCAGGAGTACAGAAACTTTAATTCTGTGGTAAGCTGCAACTCAAGGTTTCATTTACTTACAACATAGCAAAACATGGTGACGCAATCTTGGTAAACAGTCACTTGATGATTTCTTTCTTGGGGTGTGCTCTCTAGATTGGGTCTTCAATGCTTCTACATTAACCTAAAAAGTAGTACTTTGCATAATTTTTACTGTGAAAAGGGTTTTAAAAATCTACTATTAAGAATTCTTCTTCTAAAATATTATTTTCTTTCACCTACCTTTATTCTTAAGTTGTATGATCATTATGCAGTCTGTTAGAATGATGTAACACCTGAACGCTGAAATATACTGAATAAACAAACATCTCCCTTATAGATGATCTGCCATTCTGACAAATAACAAACAGACTATGTCTAGTATACTATACCCTGACAAGGATTGTCATGGAATGTTATAAAACTTAAAGGTTTTAGCTCCTGTAATCATTATGGACAGATTTATGTTCTACCATGTAATTTTAAAAAAGTTAAAATAACATAATTGATAAATATTTACGTCATTATGGATGTGCTTACATAGTTTTAGAATAGGGAAAAGGAAATTGACAACCAATTTTAAATAAGATGCCTAAATTGTAAACATTGGGAATAAGACAACATACCTGCATCAAGACTCTTAAAGAAAAGTTTCAGTATTAGTCTGAATTCTAAATATGATTAAAAAATTTCATTTAAGAAAAAATTCCTGTCCCTATAACACTGAAATTCTCTTTCTGGGTGAATGATAGAAACAAAATGAATTTAATCTGATGCAAAACCAGAAAACATATTAGCAAAACTAACCTTAAAAATAATAAAGACATAATGAATGAGCTCAGCTATTTTAAGCTGTAGTACCATATCTGATATGAAGGTAAATAGCTCACTGCATCTTTAATGTCATTTTCTTGTACCTCAATTCTGTTTTCAATCTTTCACACCCATTTTCCCTACCATAGGTACCTGATGCTCCACCAGCTTATGACAAAGTTGCTGCAGATCAGTCACCACCACCTTATTCACCATGATAACATGAAATCTTAAACCCTAAACATACCAATTCAGTATCTTCATGTTCCTGCTTAATTTCCTGTACATGCTTAACTTTCTTCAATCTAAAGTCATTAAAAAAATCACATGCTTTCATTAGCAGTTGCTGAAAAATTATTCCTGCTTAGTTTACAGAACTGGTTCTTGAAATGTTTCAATAAATTTGAATGTGCTTTTGTTGTAAGTTTTTCATTTCCTGTGGCCAGAACAACACACTATACTCAAGTCTGGGCATCTTGCATTCTTCATAGATCTACCAAGAGCAAGTACATACCAAAAGTATCAGCTAGAGTAGGAAGTGTTGGCACCTTTCTTTTCATCTTTCCCACTTACTCTCCCTTTCTTTAAAAAAGAAATAAAAAAACTATTCCCTAGAATGTAACGTACAAGATTCTGTCATAAAATGGACAAAAACATTTCACTATGTGTCCTGGTACAAAGACTAACCATTTTCCCTACCAGCAGTTCTAAAACTAACCTGCAAAAAGCAACTATGTTTTACAACAGGCTTTTACCTTATATCACCTGTAATGAAATAATTCCTCATAAACCATGATTCAGGCAACCTAGGAATTTCTCCTTACAGTCCCTCTTATTTGATACTGGTCAATGGTTATAATGATGACCACCTTTAGTTTCCTTCTGGCAGTCTTCTGAAAAAGCAAAAGAACTTGGAGATACAGAGCTTTACGAGTCATCTCTTTCTAACATGATGAAACAATATGAGACATTGTGGGAAGCCCACATTCCTTGAAAAATATAGAAGACAGCAGACTCAAAGATGTTAATTTTTCCATGTTGCCAGAACACTAGCAGTAATAGAAAACAAAGAATTGTCATATGTAAATTAGGCTACATACATACGGCAGTTATTATTTACTTAGCCTTTTTGGTTATTGTTTACTTTGCCAGATTATTACTTAAGATTGTAAGCATATCAACAAATTTATACATGAGGCCTGATATCTTACAGCAGGAGGCGGCTAAAACTGTGCAACATTTGTTAAAATGAAAAGTAGTTACAGAAGAAAACTATTTTCATAAAACATTTATTAACTGCTATCAATAAAGAATCCATTTCTTTGTCTTTAAATATGCAAACAGAAACACCTTAAAACAAAAAAAAGTTTTAAATATAAGGTAGATTTACCCATCCAACATAAAGTCCATATATGGTGATAAATCATAGGACATAGGTTTTTAGAAATGTTTCTTTTGTAATAAAAATGTTTATACAGATTAGTAAAATTAGATCCTTGTTGGATTTCCAACATACAACTTTAAGGAAAAAATTCTGTGGATTTGTTTAGTGACAGGAAGAAGAATATATATGAAAATATACAAAATACCAGCTTATAGTTAGTGAGCATCAGAGATGTAGAACACAATGTCTAACTAAATTTTTTGCAGAACTGGTAAGCTAAATAAAGCTTGAGGCTAATGATCTTTTAGCAACTCTGTACTCTGCAACTCTCTACCCTGGGGCAACATCCTTTCAAAAGACTGTGTGGTGCTACTGTTGAATGGAATGGATGTATACATTCACAGCTGAGGAAAAAAGTAATTTCTATAAAGATTAATTACTATAAAAAAGTGAAGTGCTTAGAGTTCAAAAAGCTTTACTTGATCCCACACATTTTTTTGTAGTATAAGCATTAAATATGTCACTAGCCATTTCAAAAGCTCGTGAAGAAGTTAATATTGACTAAGTAGAAACATTAATTTATTTCCAGAACTACATAAGGCTAAATTGTTGAAACTGCTCAGCTGCCAGAGCTGGAACTATTGAACTTTGACATTAATTTACAGATACTTAAAGCATAGATAAACCCTCTTGAAAACATATCCTTAGGTTTCAGAAAGTCCTCCCATTTTTCCTCCCTGTGAAAGCAGTATTCTTTCTTTAGTTTAGACACAGTTAAACAGCGGTCTCAGATTTTAATTAGTTCATGAGAAGAAGAGCATGAAATAGAAGTTCATAGAGTACTATATTATATAGGTGGAAGCTTCATCACTCATGCTAAACACCCTCACAAATACCATTGTGAGGCTTTCACATTAGACACTCATGACCTCAGAATAATAAATGGTCACCAAAATTTAGATTTATAATTTCTATGGTACGGTCATGTATGTACAGGCGTATGCCCATGTATTTTATGTGACATAAGAGTACATCTTCTTGCCTTTAAAAGAAAACTTATCTTCAATTCTTATGTAAAGGAAAAGGTTAATGAGTTCCTCTGTGCTTTGGAGAAGTAGCATTTATTTGTTTGTACTTTTCTATTGACTGCAAATTAAACTGCATCTTCATCCACCTCTCAAATTTACTCATCAAAAGAGAACAAGAGACTAGTGGGCCCTACTTTACCAGGAAAAAAAGGGCAGAATGTAGAATCCACTGTAACAACACTATTGACACCTAAGCTACAAGCCACAGCTCTTACCTTCTCTAGTTCCCTCAGAAAACTCTTGCCATGTGATACTGGTAAACTCCACTCTTACTGGACTCATACAGTCCAAAACCTGAACAATGCTTGAGCAGATGTGCCTTCACACTTCCAAACCATTTCAGTATAGCCTCAATTACATGTTTGGACAACATGCTTTGTTTGCCCCTTCCCTGAGAGGTACATCACATGAGTTGAATACAAATCAGGATGAGACAAAGACTGATGGCCTAATATAAACACTTCAGTCTTTCAATACTGATTTTGTAAGGTCTGTTCAACTTTGCTAGCTTCCACTTCTGGATGGGAGAAACAGACTGCTCTGCTTCACATTCACCATGTTTTCTTAGAGACAAAAGCAGCTTTCCTTCTTACCAGTTCTTTTTTGAATTTAGCTTATCATCAGCTGCATTCCTGTAGCTATTTCTGTTGAAGAGTATTTTCTAATAAAATGGTCTAACCTTTCTGTTCCTATCAGTTTGTCCTTTCCCATTTACCCTGGCAGAAGTAATTGATTTCTGCTTCTGCATACCATCACTTACACTCCAAGTAACTCTTTACTGACACTAAGAAGCAAAACATTTGCCCCTTTTAGACACTGCTCAGTGCTAGATTTGCTGTCTGCACTTGTTTGCAGGAGGAACTTTAGGCTTTTCATCTGGTAACTATAGGAATTGACAAGGTTTTTTATAAATGTAAGCAGTTTCTCCTCCCCAGTAGTTGAAATTGAATATAAACTAAAAATAGCTCCTTTTTATACAGCATAAATTGATTCCATGATAATTCTACTCTCCTTAGTATAACCAAACACCCTATGACTATATAGTAATACCTAATCACTAATATTTCTTTGATACTCTATTTTATTGCTGCATGTGATTAAAAAAAAGGGAGTAAGGAATGATTCTACAAATATCAGCTGGTACTAGGTGCCCACGACCTATAGATAGCCAAAAGAGTCAGATTTTATACTTCTACATTTACTAGAAGGAATCAATATGAACAATTAACTAAAGAAGCATACTATCTTCTTTTTTATGACATCAATATTGACAAGCAAAGTTCTAAAGCCTTAAGTTGATCACAGAAATCACAGTTATAGTGGTTCCTTTCCTGTATTGTTTTCCCGTGTTATTTAATTCTGATAAAGGCAACCTGTCAGTGCCACTCACATACTTAAAAACATTTTCATTTTCTAATTAATTTTTCTTCTTTGTAAAAAGCAAGAATAGGGGACAATAAAGCAATAATGCAGTTGTCTAACCTTTAGTTAGGGATGGGATGCTGGAAGAGAAGGGGACCCTGAATCCTTTTCCCAGTTCTTCCATGTTGCTATGAGAACTCTGTACTTTATTGTATTCATCTGCAAAAGGTAGGAAATCATATTTATGTACATTTTAATACACTTTCTGTGTAATACACTTAATTTCAATAAATATTATAAGCAATTAATTACATTTCCTTTACTGTGCTTTTACATACCATTTCCGATGAATGTGTTTAGTTCAGTTGAGACTGAAATAAAAGATATTGTAAGAACACGAACCTCTTACAGAACTTCTGGACCAACCACATATGAAACAGCAAAGTATCCCAGTTTCCAAATTTATGTCAGACATCTAGGTATGACTATTGATCAGTAAATTCAGTATCTTGAGAAAAGAAGAAAAGACATGTTTATCAAGATCTTAAAGTTTGTTTTATGCCACTGTAGTTCCAAGGAAAATATTTAAAATAGAACATAGTCTATGTCTCATTTCCAAAAACAGCCTCTTCAACAACTCAAACATTTTTATTTGGCTGCCAATGTGTATAAAATGATCATGCACCTAATATACAGACTTAAGCTTATATCCTATGCTCAAAAATAATGAGAGTTAAAAAACCATGATGTTCAAAACCTTTATAGTGGTTTGTCCTTCTATATTTTTAAGACAGGTAAACCAAAGAAAAGTAGGAACAGTACAGAGAAAGGAGAGTACCAGACTTGCATTGGTTTTAATAATCTCATTTAAAGATCATGTCTTTATAGCCATGATATTCTGCAATTAGTATAGTCTTATAGGATGAACTGAATTTATTCTGACACTGCTGTGTATTTGGTTTACAATTGATATTTCTTGGAAAAAGTTAGTACAAGGCTAAAGAATAGTCAGAAAATTTGAAAAATCATCATCATACAGCTGAATAAATTTGTAGTGCTTTTAGAGTATGCACTATTCTTATCCCACATCTCAAGGATGTAATAAAACTGAAAAAGTTACACACAGCAATGACAGTAACTGATTACTTCCATATAAGAAATAATTGAATTGACTATATCTCTTTATTCTAGAAAAGAGACAACCAACATGGTAAAGGTCCACATAGGCCACATGGAAAAATGAATAAATGGCAAAAGCTTATTGTATCTTACAATATAAATATTATTTGCATCAAATGAAACTAGCAGGTGCCAGATTCAGAAACAAACAGGAAATTTATCTACACACTATGTGAAAAACTCTTTACCACAGGAGCTTGTAGATGGTAATAGTTTACATATGTTCCAGAAGAATTCTAGAAAGGACTGGTCAACTTAATCAAGAAAAATACACTGAGGGCTACTAACCTGAAAAGTCACAGCTGTCTGTGGAAGACTCTGGCTCACAGATTAGTGTATACTAGAAGAGTATTCAGGCCTGTTACACTCTTTTGGACTGCTACTGTTG